ACATATACACACACACACACAAACACATATTTAAAAACTCATGAGGAATATGAGGTGTAGCTCAGTGGTGTAGCACATGTCTAGCATACATGGGGCCCTGGGTTTGATCACTAGTGTCAAAAACTTAGCCTCCTGAGGTAGCTGGGATTACAGGCGTGTACCACTGCACCTGGCTCAAACTTTGTTTTTTTAATTTATTTTTTTTGGTACCAGAGAAGGAACCTAGGAGTTCTTAACCACTGGGAAGCACCCCCAGCCCTTTTTAAAATTTTTTATTTTGAGTCAGAGTCTCACTAAGTTGCTAAGGCTGACTTAGCAAGAGGTTAATAAAGACTAAGTTTTTAATATATATTTAGACTTGAACCATATTTTACATGGTGGTTCATTTTGAATATTTATGTGATTCATAAAACTTTAGATGAATCTGTGCATGGCTTGTCTTGTTTTTAGACAAGCATGTTTGGGGGCTGTCCTCCTACCTTCTTGGTGCTCTTCTGTTAGGAAGAACAATTTTGTCATCCCATGAATTTTACCTTGGCGTAGTTGACCTTTTAATTAAACCAATAATAATGAATACATCTATAAGGGATAAATAAATCTAGTGATAAAAAAAAAGTAGGGCAGGACAAGCAGGGTTTTGGCTCAGGTCATTGAGGTTTAGTAAGCACTAAAAATTTTAGATAATGACTTTAAAAGATTGTGAAACTTTGGGCCCACATCTACAGTCTCAGCAACTCTGGAGGCTGAGGCAGGAGGATTGCACATTCATAGTGAGACCCTGTTTCAAAACAAAGAAGGAAAAGGGGTGAGAATGTAGTTTAGTGGTAGCGTGCCCCTGGTTCACTGCCCAATACTGCAAAAAAAAAAAAAAAAAAAAGAAAGAAAGAAAAAGATTGTGTAACTTTAAAACTTTATTTTTGTTGAGAACTGGAGGAGAGGCCCATCCGCCACACTGTGGCCCAGAGTTCCAAAGGAGAAGCTCGCCCAGTGCCTGGAGATACATGGTGAACCACCCCCACTCTGAGGTTCCTTATTCACCAAAGCATGGCTCCAGCCAAACATCAGAAAATATATAGGCTTGAGGCTGTCACTGCCACGAAACTGGGATATCACCGCTTCTATCAAGAGACAACAATATGGACCTGGTAAGACGTCACCAAGGTCCTTGTGGGCCTGGCTGCACCAGAGGTTTCTCTACTAGGGGTGCTCAACACCCCCTCCCCCACTTTTGCAACTTTTTGTGCTATAAAACTGCGCTTCTAGAGAGCTGGAGTATTGTCTTTTAACCAACAGATTTCAGGAGAGACAGTCGCGGCTGGTCCGAACTGTTGGTTGAACTGTTGGTTCAACAGTCCGAACGGTTATCCTGTTGCTGAGGTAACAGGGAGTCTTGCATGGGATTGCCTATCTCTTGTTTCTTCTACTAACAGCCAACAGCCAACTTCTTATGATTACCCTCTCACTTGTCATATAATCTAATACCCTCCATATTCTCCTTCAGTCCCCCTTTCTACTGTTAGAAACTGTAAACCATTACGCAAACCTATTGACTATAAGGTAGAAGATAACTGAACTCATCACTTCTGATTATAGTGACAAAACTTTAAATGTAAAAATAGAAGCTGACTGATATATGGCTGCAGGTTGGGTACATTGAGTGCTGTAATATTGATCTCTCCCTTAAAAGTGAGGTATTGGTAACCTACAGGGACACTATAAGACAGTAGGGCAGAAGCTGTAATACCTGGGACCTACACTGCAAGAGAGGAAGACTCATAGACATCATGAAAAAACAAGGGAGGAAAATGCCTCAAACAAACCAAGATACCACAACAATAGAATCCACAGATAGCGTAGTAGGTGAAATGTCAGAGAAGGAGTTCAGAATATGCATAACTGAAATGATTTGGGAATTAAAGAACAACCTAAGTGAGCAGATACAGGCAAAAATCGATCACTCCAACAAAGAGATAAGAGAGCAAATACAGGTGACCATTGATCACACCAACAAAGAGATGAGAGACAATATAGGATGCAAGAGACAGAGATACTGAAAGAGATAGAGATACTGGAAAAAAAAAACAAGCAGAAATCCTTGAAATGAAAGAAACAATAAGCCAATTAAAAAAGTCAATAGATGGGCTGGGAATGTGGCTCTAGTGGTAGCGCGCTTGCCTGGCGTGCATGTGGCCTGGGTTTGATCCTCAGCACCACATACAAACAAAGATGTTGTGTCCGCCGAAAACTAAAAAATAAATATTTTTTAAAAAGTCAATAGATAACATGACCAATAGATTTGATCACTTGGAAGACAGAACCTCAGATAATGAAGACAAAGTATACAATATTGAAAATAAAGTTGACCTCACAGTGAAGATAGTAAGAAACCATGAACAGAATATCCAAGAATTATGGGATATCATCAAAAGACCAAATTTAAGATTTATTGGGATAGGAAGGTTCAGAAATTCAAATCAAAGGAATACACAATCTCTTCAACGAAATAATAGCAGAAAATTTCCAAAGTATAAAGAATGAACTGGAAAATCAAATACAAGAGGCCTATAGGACACCAAATGTACAAAATTACAACAGATCTACATCAAGACACATTGTAATGAAAGTGTCTAGCATACAGAATAGGATAGAATTTTAAAGGCAGCAAGAGAGAAAAATCAGATCACGTATAAGGGAAGACCAATTCAGATCTCAGCAGATTTTTCAACCCAGACTCTCAAAGCGAGAAGATCCTGGAACAATATATACCAAGCTGTAAAAGATAATGGATGCCAACCAAGAATCTTTTATCCATCAAAATTAAGCTTCAAATTTTATGATGAAATAAAAACTTTCCATGATAAACAAAAGCTAAAAGAATTTACAGCAAGAAAGCCTGCACTTTAGAACATTCTTGGCATAATGTTCCACGAGGAGGAAATGAAAAACAACAATGAAAATCTGCAAAGGGAAGAATTACAATAAAGGAAAAGCCAACCAGAGGAGAAACCAAGTCAAGCTAAATACTAAAAATAAACAAAAATGAGCAGTAATGGGGCTGGGGTTATAGCTCAGTGGTAGAGCGCTTGCCTCGCACTTGTGAGGTACTAGGTTCAATCCTCAGCACCACATAAAAAATAAATAAAATAAATAAAGATATTTTAAAAAATGACCAGTAATAAAATTCATGTCTCTTTCAACCCTTTTTGATAAACTTTTACACATAAAAATTTTAACTATAATATCATCTAATTTTTCAGGTTTTGTATTTTTTTTGTTTTCCATTTCTTTTCACAAAGTTATGCAAATATTTTCTTTAAAGGTTTTACCATTTTATACATTATATTTTAATATATAATTAATCTGGTATGTATATATACATTGCCTGTGATATGAGATGAGGTATATTTTTCTTTTTTAAAAAAATGTTTATTTTTTTAGTTGTAGTTGGACACAGTATCTTTATTTTATTTATTTTTATGTGGTGCTGAGGATTGAACCCAGGGCCTCGAATGTGCTAGGTGAGTACTCTACTGCTGAGCCATAATCCCAGCCCCATATTTTACTCTTATAATTAAAAATCCATTGTTCAAGATTCAAGGATGAAAAAGATCCATCAGAGTAAAAATTGTTTAAGGTATTTATAAAAGTAAGGGCAAGGTTGAGGGAAACTAACAAATTTTGTGAAGCACCTTTCCTACTGTAGACTTGAAGAGGTAGGAGGTAAAAGAAGAGAGAGCCATTATGAAAAACTTGTAGGAGAAGGTGACCTAACTGAAGTTATTCCCACCAAAAGCACGTAGAAAACAACTCACAGTTTATTAGATTTTTATAGGGAGGAATAAAACACCTCCCTCTACTCTTGTATATTCTAAGTTCATCTCTTTAGTGTCCCTTTCTGATGGAATTCAACCAGAAACCACATAACATATGGTTATGCTACCATATATGTCTCATCAAAAGGTGAAAGATGGAGAAAGGAGCCAATATGGCAGCCATTGGTTACATGAGAGACTACTGAGTATTTGAAATGTGTCTAGTCTGAATGGAGGTGTGCTATGTGTTAAATAGACATTAGATGCCAAAGAATTACTAGGACAAAGAAAATGAACATTAAATATCTTACTAACAATTTTTTTTTTTTGCAAATTATGTTGGTAATCCATTGGGTTAAATAAAAATACATTAAAATTAATTTATCCATTTTAAAAAAGAAGTAAAGAAGAACAAGGTTATACATTCTATAACTTCACTGTAGTACTATATATCCATATTTATATGTTGTCATTTTTTATATTTGTGTTATCAAAATTCATATAACTATAAAACTAAATAGGGCAAATTGTATCATATATAAATTATATCTCAGCAAACATGACTTTAAAAAGAAATCTAGTTCATGAAGTGTTTTAATAGTATTGAGCACATACTAACCACCTGATAAATAATGGTTATTATTATGATTCATTAAAACAACCAGCATTAAACTGTTTCATAGTGGGGTAGGGAGGGGGAGCATAGGAGGAATAGTTGAATTCTAGATAGGGCAGAGGGGTGGGAAGGGAAGGGAGGGGGCAGGGGGTACAAATGATGGTAGAATGTGATGGTCATCATTATCCAAAGTACGTGTATGAAGACATGAATGTGTGAATATACTGAGTATACAACCAGAGATGAAAAATTGTGCTCTATATATGTAATACGAATTGTAATACATACCATTGTCATATATAACAAATCAGAATAAAAAAAAATAAAGAAAAAACCCCTTTTTTAAAATTTGCAGATTGCTAGCATATATACCCTTTCAGCAGCAGAGAAATGACGGTGCTCTGTCTTATTTAGTAGGTAACAGTTAAAGGAGGAAGTTAATAGATAGTTTACATTGTCCATCCATCGTCATGGTGGACCCTATCATGTATTATAATGTTGAGGGATTTTCATTCCTATGTTCCCAGGGTCAGCTGAGACCCTTCAATAAAGGACATTCCGGCTAGAGTTACCTTGATGATTTCTTCCTGAAGCAAGCTATTATGCTGCTTTAAATCCAAGTTCTTTTCTCGCTCATATCGAAGCTCTTTTTCAGCAGAGTTGAAAAGAATTTGGAGGCGATGCAAATTCTTGCGAAGTTGTTGTACTTCCTCTAGCGGCTCGCATTTTATTTTTTCTCCAGATGACAGATACTAAAGTAAACATTTAGAAAGAGAGTCAGGTCTGAAAGAATGTTGGTAAAACACCAGTTCAAGCTTTTAGATCAAAATTGTTAGAATATCATTAATATGTAAATGGTTTTGGAGTCAGTTTACCTACAACAAATTGCTCTTTTACAGTTATGGCTACTTGGTAGTGTTTATGTGATTTCATAACTGTTCAGTAGAGAGAAAATATCAGATGAATTATGGGAATAAAAATTGTTAGGCATACACAATTAACCTCATTTTTTTGTGTCAGTGAAGGGAAAAGAGAAGCATGGGTGATTTTGGAGTAAAACCCCCCCTTTAAATGAAGAGCTCAGAATTAATTTGGTGGGGGGTGGGATGAGGTTTGAACCCGGGGGGGGGGGGGTTAGTCACTAAGTCACATCCCTAGCCTTTTTATTTTTTTATTTTTTTGAGACAGGGTCTTGCTAAATAGCTCAGGGCCGTCCTAAATTACTGAAGCTGGTTTTGAACTTGTGATCCTCCTGCCACAGCCTCCTGAGCTGCTGGAATTACAGGCATGCACCACCACATCTGACTCAGAGTTAATATGTGAAGTAGAGTGTGAGCATATATGTGCATGGGAGTGAGTGCACATGGGTCTGGCAAGAAGAAAGAAAATTTAGCCAAAGGCCTTCTGCTTCTAGCTTTCTTCATCTCTTCATTTTTGCTACCTGATGATTCTTCTCCAGTTTCTACTCAACAGCAAGGCACTCTTTGGAAGTTGAGGAGTATCTACAGTACATAGCACTTACATCTTATTACCTTCGTCCTTTCACCTGTTGATGGACACTTAGTTGATTCTATAACATGGCTATCATGAATAACGCTACAATAAAATGGGAGTGCAGATGTCTCCTTAACATACTAATTTCAAGTCTCTTGGATAATATGCTCAGAAGTGGAACTGTTGGATCATATGATAAACTTTTAATTTTTTGAGGAACCTTATAGTTCCCCCTTCTCCATACCTTTGCCAACAAATATTCTGGTTTTTTTTTTTTTTTTTAATAATAGTTTCTTTTTTTGTGTGGGGGTGAGTACTGGAGATTTAACCCAGCGGTGCTTTACCAGTGAGCCACATCCCCAGCCCTTTTGTGTTTTATTTTGAGACAGGGTCTCACTTAAGTTGTTTAAGACCTTGCTAAGTTGTTGAGGCTGGCTTTTTTTTTTTTTTTTTAAATCAGGTTTGTTTTAACCTTCATTTCAAACTAAATAAACATTCATGGCAAGTTTGGGTTTCTGAATGAATTTATTTCCTTATTTTAACCATTCAAAAGTTTAAAACAAATGCTGGCTATGAATTTGTTAAATGAAAGACTAAAGTATACTAGTGGGAGTTTTGTTATATTTGAGACATACAGAAGTGGCTTGATGATTGGCATAATGTTTTGATTTGTAACTGAAATGTCTTCCAAAGGCCATCTGCTTGGTCACCAGCCTGTGGCACTATTGGGAAGTGGGAAACCTTTATGGGGTGGGAACTAGTTGGAGGAAGTCATTGTGGGCTTGCTGCTGCAGAAGAGTATCTTGGGACCCTGACCCTTCCCACCCCCCTCTCGCTTTCTCTGGTCACCATGAGCTGAGCAGCTTTGCTCCACCATATGCTCCCTGGCATGCTCTGAGGCTGGCTTTGAACTTGCGATCCTCCTGTCTCAGCCCCCCAAGCCGCTGGGATTATAAGCATGTGCCCAGCGCCCAGCTACTTGTTGGCCTTTTTTATGCTTTCCTTTTGACAAATTGTCTATTTAGATCCTTTGTCCATTTTAAAATTGGATTATTTCTTCTCTTGCTATTGAGTTGAGTTCCTTATTTTGGATATTAACCCTTTATTAGCTGTGTGGCTTGAAAATATTTTCTTTCAATCCCTAGATTATATCTACACTGTGTTGATTGTTTGTTTCCATTGCTATATAGAATTTTTAGTCTGATGTAATCTTATTTGTCAAGTTTTGCTTTTCTTGCCTGTGCTTTTGGGGTCATAGCCAGAAACTCTTTGCCAAGACCTCCATGTCAAACTTTTCCCCTAAGTGTCCATCAGTTGACAAATGTGGTGTATATAAATAAATGACATGGAGAGCTATTTACCTTTAAAACAGAAGGAAATCCTTACACTTGCCACAACAAGGATGAACTTGGAGGATATTATGCTAAGTAAAGGGAGCCGGCACAAAAAGAGAAATATTGCATGATCTCACTTATATGTGGAATCTAAAAAAAAAAAGTTGAACCCACAGAAGCAGAGAGAACAGTGCTTGATAGAGGCTGGGAGCGGTGGTTGATGTGGATGGGTGGACCATCACACTCTGGTTACAAACACCAACCATCTCATTAAGTCCAGTGATTCTGACTTCCTGCTCATCAAGATCACTCAGATTCTGAACTATCTTTCTTAGTTTTCTACAGGAAGAAAGTACACTATTCATCTAAACATATTTTAAATCAATTATGGAAAAATAATTGGTATCCTGATTTGATACAGTATCCTTTAAAGTTTAATTTGAGTCCATCCTTCAGACATGGATCTGTGTCCTAGGTGGGCTAAAATATCATGATTCACAAAGATAATCAGTTACCCTAGTAGTCAGCTGGCTAGCCTTTTGTGGGAAATAAGTTTGAACTGTGCACCTTGGACTTTTCTGCAGGTGGAAGCAAATGATGTAGCAGTTAAAAAAATCAAGCTCTGGAGGAGGCAGACCTGGGTTCCCCAGCCCCCTAATAGGCACATTATTTGCACTCTCTAAAGCCTCAGTTTTCTTATTTATGTGGTGGCAGCAATAATATTCTTGTCCCATTATATTGCTTAATTTACACAGGGCATAGTGCCTAGAGCATAGTAAATACTCAAAGTGTTAGGGAAAAGGTTAAGCTAGATTTTAAGCCTATACAATTAAGGTAATAAATTCTGCTTCGAACTTGTCTCAAGAATATTGGGAAAGTAATACCTAGAATTTGGTTACGTGGTGACCCCACCTGCAGTGGATTTAAACAGCAGAAACGAAGCCCCCAAAGACCATCAACAGCCACAAATGATATCACAAAATACTTATAAACAATACAATGCAAATACTCGGTCATGGAAGAGACTCTTGTGGCTCTTTTTCTGTGTTTACTTGTCTGTGAAGATTCTTAAGTTTGATATCTGGCTCAGCCCATTGTTGCTTAAACGTGTAGGTTATGAGGATTTAGAAGACACAGCAAGGTACTAGATACTATAATCTGACAAAGGGGTGAAGACCAATCCCCCACTCCACAGAGAAGAATAATTTCTAAGTGTCAGTTTGTCAAATAACTCTATGTACATAAGGATCCGAAATTATCACTGTATAGAAATGGCAAGAACAAAATCTGTCCAGAATGTGTTTTCTCCCTTGTCTGCTTAAAGAAGTAAATGAAATAATGTGTACAGCAGTTGCTTTGGGAAATGTTGAGTTCAAAACATCTATTGTGATTATTGTTGTATGTACCTTAGCACATGACCTGATACATCATAGATAATATTGGTTGAATAAATGAGTAACAACAATTTCAACTTCCTTGAATAATTCATGGTCAATATTATAGGAAAAAAATGACTGAACTCTGAGAGAATACAGCAAAACCCTAAAGGCTATGTTGTATATGATTTGCCCTTCTACAGAGTAACTATTCTCCCAAGTTTCCATAGGACTTGAATACATTTCATAATTTTTCACCTCCTCAGTGGTGTTGAGAAGTAGATGTTTCAAATAATAGGAAAGGGTAAATTAGAGAAAATTAATAAATTAACCAGGCATCACTTTTCGTACTCTAAAGGCACACTGATCTTTCAAATTCCTAAGGAAAGATTTTATAATCTTTGTGAGTACAGTTCAGCCTCTGCTTAAGCCTCGACAGTGGCCCTGTATTCTATAAAGGACTTTCTGGGAGATATAAAATACTTGAACACTTCATGTCATACTCCTCTTTGTCACGACCTGATACATCATAGATAATATTGGTTGAATAAATGAGTATGAGTCATAAATCATAAATAAATAAATGAGTCATAAATCCAATGACTCCATTTCCTTTCAAATATGGATTGGAATCTCCTTTCAGGTATACAATCTGTGTTTCTGTGACATGCCTAGTTTTCAGACTCTGGATCCAAATCTCTTTTCAATATATTTGTTTTTACTTTCTTCCAGGTATGTTTATTTTTAAATTTTTTGGTACTGAGGATTGAACCTGGGATGCTTTACCACTGAGCTAAATCCCCATACATCCCTAGCCCTTTTTATTTTTTATTTCAAGACAAGGGTCTATTTAAATTGCCAATTCTCCTGCCTCAGGCTCTCAAATTGCTAGGATTACAGGCATGCACCACTACACCGGGCTTAACTTTCTTTTTTAAAGTGTATACTCGAATCATTTTTCATTTATATATTTCATATATATTATCAGCCTTTGAAGGTGGTTTACTTATGGGCACAAAGGCTTTCCTCTGTGGATCTTGAAATAATTTCTGGAAAGGTGTACACAGGGCAATCTTAACTTGCACAGAAGTGACCTGTGAAAACTGAAGTATTTCTCCTGTAGGCAGAGCTACAGTGAACAGAAAAGGCCACACTTAAAATAATTCTGTGTGAGGCCTTTTGCCACTAAAATTAAGTACTTTGCACAATAAGCTACATATCAGGAATAGGAAAAGTGGCACATATCCTGCCATCCTGTTTCCCACCTGTCCAGGGGTGAACAACTGGTCACATTGTTTTTCCTGTGAGCCTAGATGGAGCTTAAGAGCCCTTTAATGATGAAGTGGATCCACTGATGGGATTGAGGTTGAGGTTATAATATTGCTTAACAAATGCACATTAATGATGATGTTAAAAATGATGCTAGTCAGAGGAAGTGAAGCCATGAGGGCATGTGTTTATAGCACCTACCTGGATGCTACTGTCATCTGAACTATCCCCAGAGTTCTGACACTGAAGGAGGCTCTCATTCACATGGCTCGCCTCTTCTCCAAGCCTGACCACTTCCTTAGGCTTCATGGCCAACTGCTCTTCTTCATCTTTCGTATCTCGATTCTGTTGAGAGTCCTCCTCCTTCTGCCCCTCTTTTGGAAAAGTGCCCTCCTTTACTGACTCCTCTGGAATTTCCTTCAGCTTACTTTCTCCTAATTCGGGACTTGGTGCAAATATAACAATAAAAACTATCAAAATGCTTATCAATGTAGCAGAAAAGGGGAGGAAAAAGTCTACAAGTCAAGAAAGTACTGCAAGCAAGATTTTTAAGCTGAATTCTATAGAAGAGTAGCAATGTTATTCTTACAAACTTCAAAAACAAAAGAGTTGCATTTTTTTTTCACTCACAATCAGGGAGTGGACCCATCATAAGTGTGTATGTGTGTGTGTGTGTGTGTGTGTATTTTTTTTTTGGGGGGGGGCACTGGGGATTGAACTCAGGGGCACTTGCCCACTGAGCCACATCCCGAGCCCCATTTTGTATTTTATTTTGAGACAGGGTCTCACCGAGTTGCTTAGCACCTCACTTTTGTTGAGGCTGGCTTTGAACTCACGATCCTCCTGCCTCAGCCTCCTAAACCATGGGATTACAAGCGTGCCACCACACCTAGCATCATCATAGATTTTACAGCCAAACAACTAATGTGAATGAGTTTTATACTTTTTCAACTTTTAGTATTGCATTGGTCAGACACAATTTATAATGATTTTTTTAAAAAATAAGCATTTTAAAATGCTTTTAAAAAATGCTCCAGAAACCTTAGGCACTTGGGGCAGATACTAGTACTACTATAAGACACAGTCTCTGACCTAATGAGCTATTAATTGTGGCAAAGATAAGTAAACGAGTGATTAAATGAGTAGTAAGCACTCTGGGGCCTGGTGAATCACTAGGCACAAGCCAGACAATGTAGAAATATTCACTTGTGCGTACAGATATTGGGTAGAAGGTGTTGGTATAGTTGAGAACATGGAAAAACAAAGTGATTTCTCCTGACTTAGAGTTAGGAGACTTGGGACCTCATCCAAGTCCTGCTGATAAGTTGCTATGTATGTGACTGTGACAGAAATAGTCATTCTAATTCTCTTGGTCTCAAAGACATCATCTGTGAAAAAATAAAATTTAGCCAAATATCACTGGTTTTCAAACTTTCTCTCCCTTTCTGTCTTCCACCACTGGGGATTGAAACAAGGTACATTTTACCTCTGAGCTACACCCCTAGCCATTTTTTTTTTTTTGAGATGGGGTCTTGCTAAGGTGCTCAGGCTGGCCTCAAACTTGAGGTCCTCCTGCCTCAGTCTTCCAAGTAGCTGGGATTACTGGCATGTGTCACTATACCTAACTCAAACTTATTTTAGCTGTGGATTCTTTAAGTGAAATCTTAAGCAGAATCCCACCCAGGAAACAGACCAAAGTAGAGCTTCTCTGGCTGACATGGAAGCAGAAGGTCACAATCCCATTCATCTGTCTTGCTCATCTTTTTACAAGGTAATTTCTGAGGCCCTTCTTTAGTACTCTTGAAATTTTGGAAAGTAGGTTTAAAACTATTAGGTGAGACAATCTACAGGTCTCTTCTACTGTGAGATTCCAATACTCTATAACAGCACTATAAACAACAGAAAGCCAAGATGCAGTCCTTTACCTTAAAGGAGCTTAGAATCTAGCAAAAGAGACGCACTACGAAAGTCAGACGATCAGGCATACTGGGCAGCCTCTGTGTGACCATGTGGGAGTACCACCTTCTACACTGTTTCAGTTGAAGACTTTGGCTCATGGCTTTCTGTCACTTTCTTCACCCTCTTCCTGCCGCGGTCCTGGAAGATCCTATAGATCAGCCACCAATACCTTGGCAACACCTCCTGAGCCCCACCTACCTACCTGTGTGACCACAACATGGTGTGTATTGAGAGCAGCCACTTCACTGCCAAAACACCAAAACTCCATATCTGACCTCCAACTTTTTTCTTTTTCTGGGACTTGCTTTCAGTTCAATCATAAATGCTGTCAACTCTGTGTTTCTCTTTCTATCAGTTCTCTTTACTTGTTTCCTTCTTCAATACAGAGTCTGGAGTTCACTGTTTCAACCACTGTCTAAATAACATGGTCAGCTTTCTTAACCCATTGTCCTTCCACAGCACTCAGGGGGCAAAGCCTGAGCCCCAAGCAGATCCAGCTCCTTTCTGGTCTATCCTAAACCACTGGAGGTTGCTGAAAAAACAATATATACACTCAAAGACAGATGCTAAATTTAGGTTCCCTAGTCTCAACTTAGCCGTTAACACCACCCTGTGGTAGACAGTTGGCTTTCTCTTGTGTTCTCTCCAATGATTACTTCAAACTTTCCCCAGCTCTTAAAAATTCTGTTATTTCTATTCCTCTCTCATTCTCAGCAGACGTCTTTGCTCACTACTTCACAGAGGACACAGAAACTACGGAACAAGTCTTTTGACTTTCTTAAAAAGTAAAAAACTTTTTTCGAGTAAAAAACTTATCTGCATCTCTATCCATTCTCTTTCTTGCTCCTGTGGAAATGGAAGAGGTGGCCCACCTCTTTCCCGGCTAAGGCCCGTCCCTTTGCTGATACTCTCAATTCTTAGCCTGTCATGTTAAGGACTCTTTTCCATCGGGATTTGAACATACATAAATTACCTCTTATGTCAACCTCAAATTTTCTTCTCCCTTTCAGAACTAAACTTTTGGGGCAGTATTGTCTACACACACTGTTCCCACTTCTTCATCTCCTGCTCATTCCTCGTTCACTCCATTCATCACCCCACAGGATGGAATCTAGAAAGCAATCTGTTTTCTACCCCTCACTGGGACTACTCTTATGTCTTCAGCCACTTTCTTGTTGGTGAATTCAGTTGTCAACATCTGTTCCTCATTTTATTTGACATTTTGGCAGTACATGACACTATGTCTTTTTGAAACTATTGTCTTTTTGAAACACTCTAATCTAGACTCTGCAAAACACACTGTCTTGACTTTTCTTCTTCTTCTCTGGCTGCTTATTTTCATTGTCTCAGTCACCTTTGCAGGGTACTCATTTTGTCTCCAGTAGAGGTTTTCCTTAGGTTGTTTTAATCAGACAACCTCTGGGGTCATTTCATGCACTCATGTGACTTTTGCTACTATCAATTTGTTGGTGATTCCCCAATTTATCTCCACCCTAGGCTTTTCTCCTGAGTTCCACAAATCTATAAATCTGTGTATTGACTATCTCCAATCAGCTATCCCAAAGATACTTTAAAATTCATATATCAAGAATAACTTCTTTCCCTCTTCCTGCAAAATTGTTCCCTAAGTCAATGAATGACATAATCAGACCAGAAATTTAACTAATTTTAAGCATCTTCTGTTTTTTTTTTTTAACTTTTAAATTTGCTCTAATTAGTTATACATGACAGGAGAATGCATTTTGATACATTGTACACAAATGGAGCACAACTTCTCATTCCTGGCTGGACATGGTGCAGAGTCACCAGTAGTATAATCACACATGTTCATAGGGTAATAATGTCTGTGTCATTCTACCATCCTTCCCATCCCCACAGTCCCACCCCTCCTCGCACTCCCCTTTGCATAATGCAAAGTTCCTTCATTCTTCCCTATTCCCACCTCCACTATGGATCAGCATCCATTTATCAGAGAAAACATTTGGCCTTTGCTAACCTCCTCTCAATTCCCAAATCACAGTTTACTACACTCTCTTCCTCACCATGAATCCCTGAATCCTGTTGAGTTTACCTCCTCTGGGTGCCATCTGCTTCTACTCACCAGCATCAACATGGCTCACCTGGATGCTCATAACAGCCTCTTAACTGGTCTTGCCACCTTAATTTTTATACTAATAAATTTCTTTTACACACAGCAGGCAGAGTGATTTTTTTTTCCTAATGCACAAAACGTCTTTATCTTCCTCGTGCCAGTCAACCCTGTAGTAGTTTCCTATTGTCTAAACTACCCACAGGGCTGTGGGTGTAGCTCAGTGGTAGAGCACTTGCCTAGCATGTGTGAGGCCCTGGGTTCAGTGCCCAGTACCACAAGCAAACAACAACATGAACCCACCTCCCTAGGATAGGCATTCCTGTCCCTACATGATCAGGCAGGCCTCTGCCTACCTTTCCATTCTCATCAACTTTTTCCACCTCCTCTTTTCATATTCTAATTCATGAAGTCATTTTTAGAAGCACAAACAATCATACTTTCTTTTCTGTATGTCATTTGTTCTATTTTGTCAACTCCTTTTTTTTTTGGCTTGGCCTTTGATTAGTTGTATTTTGGCACCCACATTAAGTTTCACTTCCTTTAAGAATATTTTCTGATTCTTTAGCCTGAGCCAGGACCCCTGCTTTATGCCCCAAACATTCAATACTGCTTTGTGTAACTTTCTTCCTCATCAGACTATGTGCACCATAAGGATAGGAATTATATTTTGTTTTTGTATCTTCAAATTACCTGGAACATGATAGATAGCACAATTTATTGTTCAATGTGATTGTGTTATGGACCTGACATAAGTAGAGGGGTGAGGCTGCAGGAAGTAAGCAGGAAGAGGGGAGAGGGAAGCCTATGTCTGATACACAGATTGCTGGTAGGCTTGGCATTTGGAAAGGGTTTGGACCAAAAGTCATGGAGGGTGGCAGCAAGAAGCTCTTTAGAGAGAAGCCCAGCACCTTTTTCCTGAAAGGCTTCCCCACTCACAGACAAATTAAGGCCCCAGTCTTGCCTAGTGTGGTGAGTATCCCTGCTAATTACCTCCAAATCAGCTGGGCAAATTTTTGTCAACTTTGACCATTAATGTCAAGTCTTCTGTGAAAAGTTTCATATTGATGTTTTCATCTCCATTGCTGCTTGCTCAACCAAGGCCACTATCCCTTCGACTGTGGCTTATATATTGTCTGTCTTCCATCTCTACTTCATCTAATATAGAAACACTGGGACAATCTCCCTCAAAATCCCTGTAATATACTGTTCCAGTGCTCACGAACTAGACTTTCTCGCTCCCTACAGCAAACCTAAATGCTGTAATCACCTTCTTGATTCTTTGCTTTTGTTAACACTATCCTCTTTTTCTCCACCAACTCTCCAATACATTCTTCCACTTGGCACATAAGTTTCCTGATTTTGAAAGTTAAAAGCAACTTTTAAGAGAGCATAAAATTCAATGGCCCGAAATTGTCAAAACGATCTCTTTCTATTTTGGAACACTTATGAAGAAATAAATTTGGCTACAGCTGGGAGTATATTTCTCCAATTCAGGGATAAGTGCATCCTTATCCCTGAAGTAAACATTAATATCTATTATTTTCTTTCAATTATTTAGCTCTAGGTTTTTGGTAAGATAAAATAATTTGATTTTTATCTATTCATTTTTGTGCTAAAGCAGACTAGTTCATTTGCCCAAAGCCACAAAAATTTCTGTAAAAGATAATTTTGGTGGAAAAATAGAAATACAAGAGTTAGGGGGAAAGATTAAACAAACAAATAAAAGAGAAAGTTTCTTAAAATTTAATTATCAGATATAATGTTAAATAAGAATAGCAAAAAAGAAAAAAAAAAACACCTATGGAGAGTAAATCCTTTTTTTTTTTTTTTGTACCAGGGACTGAATATAGGAGTGCTTCACCACTGAGCCACATCCCCAGCCCTTTCATTTTTTAATTTTGAGACAGGGCCTTGATGTGTTGCTGTGACTGACCTTGAACTTGCAATCCTCCTGTCTCAGTCTCCTGAGTCACTGGGATTACAGGAATGTGCCACTTAGTTATACATAAAAAAATGAATATGTACATGAGAAAAAAAGAAAGAAAAATGAGGTTCCATCAATGGTAAGAATTATGGGTTTTTAAAATTTCCCTATACTTCTCCATATTTTCTAAATTTTCACTAAAACCCATATACTTAGTTTTAAAAGCAAGAGGAAAAGCTTTAACATGTAAAAAATATATCAAAGACAAACTTTCTGGAGAAACTCAATTTTTCCTATCAGATCACTTGAAAATGAATGTCAAATTCTTATAATGATCAAGCCAAATAAAACATACCTTTCTACAAATAATTAATGTGATATGGGATTTTCTCAATTTACCAGAGTTCTTTTCTCTCTTCCTTTGGACTTTGTATCTCTACTTCCAAAATTGGTACTTTCAACAACAGATCTTTATAAGCACTTTCACTTGTAATTAAATTAGCAGTTGCAGTTTTTCCCCCTAAAGTAAAGTGATTTAATTGTTCCAATTCTTGTGAAAACTTCAAGATCTGTAAAGTTAAAAGGTAAACATTCTGTTTTGTATACTCTTATGTACAGTTGTAAAAAAGTATACACTATTCCATTAAGTGCTTAATTATTGGCTTAAACAATAAAGTTGAAGCCTCATTCCAACTTAATTTAATACTTTTACTTGTTATATAACTTAATCCATTTTTACCATATGCATAAGGGCCTATAAATCGATGACTTAAATGTATACAAAGAGATGGTATTTTTAAAACAATTTTTAGATGTTGATGGGCCATTATTTTATTTATCTATATGTGGTGTTGAGAATCGAACCCAGTGCCTCACACATGCTAGGCAAGTGCTCTACATACTGAGCTACAGCCCCAGCCCAAAAGAAGGTATTTTTGATCTCTGGGGTTGGCACCTCAGATTGCCACTTAGAGTTTTGTTGGACCTTTTAACAGGTATGTGATCTATAGAGTTTTACACTATTACATGCATTTTTGTTCTCAAGTTTTGAATGTTCTTCATTGATTCATAAAGGCACTAATATATTGCTGCAAGAAAACATTAGAATGTCAGATATACATCATGGAGAAGAACTTTCTCCCAGTCTGACCCTATCTATTAAAAAACACTTGAACTTGTAGAGGCTTCCAGATTGTTGTAGTGGTTCTGGAACCCTGGAGTGTCAATAAAAATGCTATCTTGTGCTGCAGCCCTGACCCTGAGATTCAGAATCAGTGAGTTGCAGTGGGAAATGGGAATTTCCCTGTAAATAAGCTTCCAAGCTAAATCTCCTTCTCTCTGTTCTCTGCCTTGAGAAGACAGTAGTTTGCAAACTAGGTGATCTCAGACTTCCCAAACTCCAGAGCAGTAAGAAATAAGTGTTTGTTGTTTAAACCAGAAATCTGTGGTATTCTGTTATAGCAACCCAAACTCAGTCCTCTTCAAAAATATCAAGGTCATGAAAGACAAAGAAAGACTGAGGAACCATTTCAGGTTAAAGCACATGATCCTGAATTAGATCTCATATTGCATTTAATTTTCCTGTCCTTTAATTTGAATTGGATCTCAGACTAGAAAAAATTATTGTTTTTTTTTCTATAGAGTAGAATAATTAGATATGAATATAAACTGTAGATTAACTAATAGTAGTGTCAATGTTAATTTCCTGATTTTGAGACTTACACTGAGGTAATAACACATATTATTATTTTTAGCAAACACACATGAAAAATATTTGCGGGTAAAGTAGATTAGGTTTCCAGCTTACTCTCACAGGCTTCACCAAAAAAGTACCTGTGAGAATGTGTACACATATGTGTGCCTACATATGAAGATATAAAGTGAAAGAATAATGAGGAAAATATGGTATCATGGAGGAATGAAAGCATAGGGAATTTTTTTTGTATTGTTTTTATAACTTTTCTGTAAGTCTGAAATTATTTCATCACAAAAAGTTTAAAAAACAAGAGAGAGACAGATTGCCAGGACACTGATCTAGATTTCTGGGTTTTATATTATATTCTTCTCACCTCATCTTTGTGTTGACTTTTCTGATGATATTTTGAAAGACACATCCCTTTAACTCTACAAAAGGTACACAAGCAAAGCTTAGTAAAGCTGTGCTATACATGTTTACCCTTCCAGGTAGAATATCCTGTGTTCTGGATGTTTCCTGCCCTATGTTGCATACTATAATACACACTCCAAAAATTAAGTTGGTGGAAGGTCTATGTAAAACAAAAAATGCACAAACTAACCCTAAATGGCAAGTTCTGGTTGAAGTCTAATATTTTCCCTGAAATATAGCTTAACTTGTAATCTACAGTACATGGCAATCTACTGTATAATAATGAAAGGCTTTCACTTCTTTATTTTAAGAAACTCTCATTTCTAAGTTATCTCTTACTGAAAATTAATTTTCTTTTATCTTCCCCACATGCAAGGTGTTATATACTGAACATTTAAATATGTAATAATTTAGCCTCACCTTTGTTTCTAACTCAGCATTCTCTCTTTGGAGGAGGTCATATGCTATTAAAAAATGGTCTCTGTCTTCTGGTGCCCCTGGAAGGCTCTGAATTTCACTATAAAGGCATGCAAGTTCCGACTTTGACTTTTGCAATTCCTATTAAGAAATAAAGATATTTTTATAGAATACATCCAGACTATTTCCCCATAAAAGGTAGAATATTTCCAAGAATAAATTTTGAAATGATCCTGACAATTTTTTTTGTTTAAATAGTCATTAAATGGAGTATTATTAATTTCTGTCGTTCACTGGTTGTAAGATTGGATTCCTAGAGTCATTCCTACATTAAGCAAGGTTTGTATAGAGATAAAATCTTTAGTAACTCCTATATTAAATAGTTGTATTATCTTGTTTTAAGAATGCATCTATGTTGCCTTTCATAGAACAAGGTGCTGCTGTGTGGTTTACCTTTAACCTTGCAGCACTCCTAGAAGATGTTTGTTGAAACTAAGCTCAGAGTTCTCATAACCAGGAAGTTGAAAAGCTGAGATTCCAAACTCATGTCTATCTTACTTCAGACTCTTGTGTTCTCAACTACAAAGCATGCTGCTTTACTTAACAATACATATTCTGTGACTTAATCAACCAGGATTTCCTCTAACCCTATGGTTTTCATTTCATACCCATGAAAGAAAATACTTTATTTAGTTATAGATTTCTATCAAATTTTTATACTGTTTACATGAACTATGTAGTGTTTGATTGGTAGATGACAAGGGGCTAAGAGTCTGTGTGCCCGATAACCAACTGGTGATGTATAATTTGTTTTAGGAGAGGAGCTGTTTGGTATTTTACCAAAGCCTTGAGATCAGAAGGAGTAGAAATGCTGATGACATTGGGCAAAAAGGCAAGAAGGTAAGGGTTAGCTTCCCAAAACCACAGGAAGGTGGCAAGGGGTGTCAATTCCCTATTCAATTTCACTAAAAATTCCTGTAGGTCATTAGAGGTTGGAGCTTGGGGCATTGCCCTGCTGTCACCCACCCTGCCAAGTAATTAATAAGTATCACCATCCTCTAAATTGAGGATCTAGACTTCCATAATTCACTTCCAGGTCTCTCTTCAAAATAGAGGCCGATTTTTGTCTATTGATAGATCTTTCCAAGATGGCAGAACAATTATGAACATCATAATTGAACACCTGTGACTTAAAGGACTCCAAGGCTAGTGCTGGGTCTCAACTTGGGTAAACAAGAGCACTAGGCCCTTACTCTAGAAACACATATTCTATAGTGCTGTGGACCAAACTGTGTCACACTCAAAATTTATATGTTGAAGTCCTAATTTCCAATATGGCTGTATTTGGAAATGGGGATGAGAAGGAGGTGCTAAGGATAAGGGTGGAATCCTAATCTGATAGGCCTGGAGCCTTTGAAAGAAGAGACAGCTCTCTTTCCATCATGTGAGGACACAACATAGCAAGAGGGGTCTGTCTGCAAGCCAGGAAGATGTTCTTGCTAAGAAGTGAATTGGGTCAGCACTTTGATTTGGAACTTTCCAGTCTCTAGAACTGTGAGAAAATATTTTTTTTTCTTCTTTCAGCCACCTAGTCTGTGGCATTTGGTTATGGGATGTGTTTATGGCATTTGAATGTCCAAGTTAAGATACGTAGTTGTGATTTATTTTAAAATAAAAATAAATAATACTACAAAATCCCTAAATGAGGAAAACATCTTGAGTGGCAATACCTCACTATCAACTTTCAAGGCCTTCTGTATAGTAATAAAACCAGATGCCAACTGCTTTTTCTTCTCTCTTTCTTCTGAAAAATCACCTTCAAACATTTCAGTTTTTTCTTGGCTCATTTTCTGTATCTATAAAAAGCATTTTACATAATTCAATTTATATACAATAACAGTGTTTCCTATAAGTTCTGACACAAACAAGTTTTCTGCGTAACTCAATTATAAAGTCATGCAGGGAACATGTGAACCTAGGAAAACTAATTCATGGTACTAGAGTTCATAAGATATGATCGTCTCTTCAAGCCTGTTTATACAACTGTTAAGGGTAGTAAAACTTGTCTTACCTATATTATAGCCATCACAGTAGGAATAAAATGTGATTTTGAAAGTATTTTATAAATTTTTAAAACCTACCAAACATAAGGTATTGAAGATATCTTTCTAAATTAACTGATGATAATTGGAATAATAATGGTAGGAGCTACTATTTATTTATTGAGGGTTTATCAAATGTCAGACACTGGGTTAAGTACCTTACATGCTTCATCTCATTGTTTTCCCAGAATGTCTATGAAATTGGAACAAATATATATTCTTTTTCAGAGGAGACTGGTGAGGCTCAGATATATTAGGTAATTTTCCCAATGTCTCACAGCCAGCACTGGGATTCAAACTCAAGTTTAACTTAAAAGCCCTTACCCTTTTTTCCCCCACTTTTTTATTTGTTCTCTTTAAATATACATGACAGTAGAGTATATTTTGACATATTATACACACAGGGAGTATGACTTATTCTAATTAGGATAAAAGTATCTATTCTATTCAGTCTTGCTGAAGACATTTCTTTTGTGTATAAAACCCTATTAGGAAATCCAATCGAAATACACCTTAGTGAACACACAGTGAGAATCAAACAAATTCTCTTGATGACCATACTTTCCACAGCAAGAGCACATCTATCAAGTGAACTAACTACATATTTGGCTTGGCCAGTTAGGAAGCAGCACAAGACTGACAAATCTTCACTCTGCAACTTGGGAAATAGGGATGGTATGCTTTACCAGTCTGTTCTGCTATTGACTACCAAAGGGACACTGAGTTAGTTACTTTATTTTTCTTAGCCTCAGTTTCCTCATTTGAAAAATAGGGACAATGAAGCCTTGACATACATGGGCACTTCATTCATAGAAAATGTTCTATAAATGTCAATTTGTATCATGGTTGAATTGTTCTGAATTCTCACATTTATTCTTCAATGAAGCAATATTTTTAAATCGTTCCTACAATTTCAATGCACTAGTCTATCCTATATAAATATGTTTTCCTTTTTGAGGTGCTGGGGATCTAACCCAGGGCCTTGTACATGTTAGGCATGGCTTTACCACTGAACTACAATCCTGGTTCACTATCCTAAAAATATTTTTAATATGTTCTCTCTTACTGGACTTCTCTTGATTACTCCCCCTCCTCCACACTCCTGTAACAACTGGTCACAGTCATAGTATGCAGATTTACCATCACTAGAAGTGTGCTTTCTCCTTTTGCCTATTTCCTGTAATCATTGAGCATCCGTATAAAGTTAGCCTAACCTGTATTAGAAAATGTAACTGAAAAATTATCTTTATTTCTTACCTCATTCAAATCTTGGACTTGATTTGTCTCTTGACCTTTCATTCTGGTTTTGCTTCTGTCTTCCTAGATTACTGATAATTCAGGCTCTAAGATGGAAATCTTAATCCAAATTAACCACCAGTTAAAATGCATATGTGTATTTTTTTAATATTAAAAGAAAAATGTTATACATTTCTTAAGCATCCTTCCCTGAGGACATTTCTGATATCTCTTCCTATAAAAAAAGCTTCACCTCCTGTCTGTTTTTGGACCAGCTGCTTTTATTATTAGCTGCTTCACTATGGATTTGAGCTTTTGCTGTTGTTTGGCAGCTGAGTTAATGGAAACAAGCATTAGAAAAATACAGAATCTTAACTGTTCTGAATTAATCAAAATGCTTAATTTGCCATCCTCATGTTCCATGTCAATAAAACAGGAATAGAAATCTCAAAGTGATAAAAGTTAGAAAGAATAGGGAAAGTTACCAAAAAAAAAAAAAGGATGCTAAAACTGAAGTGTGACTTTTATAATTCCTTTTGTCCAGTGATATGGTCAAGAATTACAGCATTGCATAAGGATATGAGGAAGAACATTTTCCTGTCTGTCCTTCTTCACCAGCCAACACTTAGACTGGTGAACACCCTTGCAAATCCACACGTGACAGGCTGATGCGTTCAACACGCAGAGCAAGAGTTCCTTAGCCTCACCCTGCACCACCTGATGCCTCAGCACAAAGTAAGGGAAACACCTCAACTGTTAAAAAAAATGGAGACATATTTTGTTTTCTTTGTTGGCTAAAAATGTTCTGTATTTTAATGTGATGATTTTAAAAAATAGTTTTTCTAAATAATATATCTGAAATTTGAAAAAAAATTGGAAAAAATAATTCATATTTAATGTAAATTTATACAGTCATGTATTTTAGTTTAGATTTAACATATCTATATGCCTATAAATATATAAAAATATATAAGGCATTATTTGAATATATTATACAAATATATATTTGAAGTTTACCATAGTTTGTGACATGTTGAATATAGTTAATACATTTAAGCAATTTGTGCACTTCATGAGACCTGTGACCAAAGTTTAAAGCAGGAAAGGGGCAGCAACAGTGGGAGATAGAGATCTCTGGGTTCTGATGAGAGGCTACCTCACCTGTTAGCCAGCAGGGCACAAAGAGGAAAACTAAGAACTTGTTAGCAAGTTTCCTTAGCATGGGGTAGCTACCACCGACTTTGGAGAAACAGTTTAACAGCTCAGAACGTTCCACTTTCTGTGTTCTGTCTGAAAGCTGGGGATCATTTAATGCTGTAAACTAAACCATGCCTCCCTGCTGCCTCATCTCAGTCAAAGGCCATGGTGAATGCAGGCACCCTAAAGAGTAAAACACTGGGGTCATCACCTCTAGGGGGAGGCTGTGTATGTGTGCAGTGCTGGGCACACTACAGCCCTTGTAAGTTATAATAAACCCCCCATATAAATCTCCTCTGTAAATCTCTACAAGAGTTGGAATTGCATGGAAAATGGGCTCAGGGCCAGATAAACCTGGATCAACTCCTGGTTCAGTTCCTCTAAACTCTCACACGTGAACTGGGAATACTATTTACCCTGAGGAGGGCTGTTATAGGGAATACTTGAGATTGTTAGACACCTGGAACAGATCATGGCCCTTAATAAATGCTCAGTATATTGTGGCCATTATTATTCCTTCCAGGTACCTAGTATTTCCTTTATTTTAGGCATTTTGAGAACATGAAAACCAACAGCACTATCATAATCTATTTAGTGATAAATCAGTTGGAATACAGAAATGGGTAAGAAACACAGTCTTATCTTGAGAAGTTTATTTGATGTAAGGAACAATTTTCTAGATGAGCTTTCCTTTTTCAGCCACAGGACTCCCTACCCCTTGTTTCAAAAGAATTCTCATGAGGAAACCCACTACAAAGTGTACAGAAGTGGAGGCTACTCTGATTGATGCAGAAATAGAAGACTTAGAAGTTTTTGTGTGTGAAACATCAAGGATCCCTGAAATACAGTTTTAAAATCAGAGTGGCAAAAATATGAGTTTTGTAGTCAGGTTGAGATTTCAAATCTTGACTTCCATGCTTACGAATCTGTGATTTTGGTTTCCTCAACTGTAAAACAAGGTAAAAAAATAACTACCCCTCCTGACCCAAACAGAGAGAGTGAGAAAGAGAGAAAGAGAAGGGAAGGGGGGGGGGGAAGAAATATTTGAAAAAGGAGATGTTTATATGAGAAATTGTCTTATGTAATTACGGAAGCTAAGAAGTCCATGATCTGTCATCTGCAAGCTGAAGACTCAAGAAAGCTGGTGGAATACTCCGGTCCACGTTGAAAGGCCTGAGCACCAGAAAAACTAATGATGGTACAAGTTCTAGCCCAAGTGTGAAGGCATGAGGACTGGAGAGCCAATGGTATAAGTTCTAGTCTGAGTCTGAAAACCTGAGATCAAGAAATGTGGCAGTGTAAGACCCAGTTTGAGAACCATAGAAGACTGATGTTCCAGTTTAAGCAGTCAGGCAGGGAGAGTATTCAATTCTCCCTTCTTCCACCTTTTGCTCTATTTAGACCCTCAACTGATTAGCTGATGCCCACTCACACTGGTTTGGCAATGTGCTTTACTTAGACTACAGATTCAAATGCTATTCTCTTTTGGAAACACCCTCATCCACCCTTTAAAATAATGTTTGACCCAATAGCAGGGCATCCTGTGGCCCAATAAAGTTGACATACAAAATTGCCCATCACAACATCATTTTACTTGCTTTTGTAGGAAACATAAAATAGTCATCAGGGAGGAATGACTGCAGGAGGCACCTGAGTGCCCATCTAAAAGCTGAAGATCCATGCATGGAGAACACCATCCTAGGTCAAGACTGGAAACAGGCTCAAGGGAAAGAGCTGCCACTCCTTACTTAGACTACAGCTCTCAATTCACTTAATTCTTCTGCTGACAGTGACCTGTAGTTAACAGTTATCCTTACACCATCACTAGTCTGCCAAACATGATGAAGAAAACTTGAGGCTTTTTCTTTGTGTAAGATAGAGAACTTTGGAGGCAAAATCTATTCATAGTTAAACCTCCTCTTTCTTCAGGAAATATTGAACTTTAAAAGTTCATTTAAAACTTATTTCAAATTGATCACTATCCACTGATAACTTTTTCTAGTTTTAAAGATTTCTACTTGTTCACACCTTTAAAGGGAAAGAACATGTATTTGCAATGCTCTTCATTAGTCCACTCTGGCTGGCTTTATAAATTGAAAGCTCCATAATTTTAGAAATCCACACAAATTTTGAGTGTTGATGACAAGTTTGTTTGTTTGTTTCTTTTACTGGTTTACATACAACCTAGAGGATTGAGATCAGACGTAGAAAAATTCTAATACTTAATTGTTGGACATTAGGGAAAACTGAGTGACCTTTCCTGAATATCTTTTAAAATAAGATAGATGCTCATTGACACTGAATATCACAGATAACATTGATCGCAGACAGAGGTTGATAAACCAGATAATCTCCAGTTCTCAAGAATTCTGTGGTACAGAGGACCACATGGTGGGGCACCACTGATCTCTCCCTTTGAGGAAATACTTGCCATATTTTCCAGGTACCTTCCAGTGATACCTGAACAAGGTGGGAACATAAAGCCCTGGTAATTTCTACCCAATGTGAAATTTTTCTGCAGATTGCCATTGTGCCAAACTCCCTGTTGGAATGGCTGAGACTTTCTCAGAGTCCTACCACAGTCTGAGGCTGGTCCTATCCAACCTTCCTTCTCCCTTTTTAAGAGATGTCAGATCTGCATTGAGATCTGAAGGCTTTCCCTGCCTATGTCTGCTTCTTTCCTTTGTCCTTCACAGGTGCCACCCTCCTGCACCAGTCCACATCATGTAGACAGATGGGTAGCAGAATAAGGAGCAGGTCACAATCATGGCACCATCAAAGCAAAAGAAAATGACTATATAAGAAGTCAAAAAGTTTAAACCATTCTCACCTCAGTAAAGCCTTAGGAAGAATATTTCTCTTTTGGCAGACAACTTATCAGAGCAATCTCACCTCTTCTATGTGCCAATCAATTTGTTCTAGACTTCATTTCACATGAAATGAAAGATGGAAAAAATGGGGTAGAAACATTAAATACCACAATTATCCTTCTTTCCCAGACACCCCAAGAAATGGCAAATTGGACAACATTATCATTTTTCCTACAATGTCAGAAGAAAGAGTGGAAAAGTGAGATTTGCATGAGAGATTCATTCTGGTTTTATGTTTCATATGAAATGTTTTACCTTCTAAACATTGTGGGTAATACTTTTTTTTCAACTACATTTAACAAAATATTATCCTGGTGAGTATTTACAATGACCTCTCTTCTTACTGATTTGTTTATATATTCACCTATATATAGTCACTCATTCCATAAACAATTATTGCATTGGTATTCCATAAACAAAATAAGCATTGGTATTTTTCAGGGTCATGGGAATATAATAATTGATGCCATTATTGTTCTCAGTTTACAGATAAGGAAATCAAGTAATAGAGTTAAGTAATTTGTTCAAGGTCACCAGGCTGACTGGTTCCAGGGTATGCTCCTAACATTTAAACTAAATTTTCTCAATTATGCCTTTCTATGTTATAATTAGCCCTGTGGTCTGTTCTAGTAGAATATCACAGTGGGAGAGCACAGGCAGATAAATGACACTGAACAGTGATCAGCCTAGTGGTAGAGTCATACCAAGTGCTGAGGCAGCCAGAGAACATTCTTTGTGTTATGACTTCCAAATTTAACACTTGTAAGAGGTTTTGCTATAAATGCACATATTTATATTCAAGTAAACCTTTCTCGTGAGTTTTATGCTTTCAGAACAGTTATTTTGAAAAATGATGCACATAAAATACACCAGAAATCCATGTTCAAAATCGCCTTTGGAAATGGTAAACACATCCCCCAGATACCTCCCTCCACCAAAAAAAGATAATCATCTTTCTTAGAGAAGTTGATTTTATGGTAATATTTCACATATATT